ATTGGTATCGTCGATGAGGCAACACATGCTTCCACGATCTATAAATCATAAACCACAAGCTGTACACGAGGGAAATTTTTTTCTGCACTTACCAGGAAAAAACAGTTTAATTCTTTGAGAATTTCCTAAAGGAAGCGGCTAATTTGTTAGAAAATATAATCTATTACCAAGCACAACTGTTTCGCTCACCTCTTTGGCTTTCTCCGGTTTTGATAACAGTGCAGCGCCCATGCCACCAGCTAAGGAGAACTGTTTCGGGCATCCCATATTTATGTCAAGCGCTGCCACATCACTTCCACTAAAAATCGAAAAATAAGCTTTAACGTGGCAGATCCTTTTTACGATATGATTTTTGAACAAATGCGGTTAAAAAAAAAAGGACGACCAAACCAAAAACGGAAAAAACTCTACGGCCCAAAGAGGGAAAGTGCGAAAAAGTAATCGCACGGAAAATTTTACTGGACGATATCGGCATAAAAATGCCTTCGTTGAAATTTGAGATCACGTCAAACAGCTGGTCGAAAAAGACTGAAGGATCTGGCAGAGCTGAGCTCAGCAATCTCATTAATAACCTGATATTCATCAGTGGCGTGGACATATACCTCAGCAGTGTCACTAACATGGGATTCCCAAACTATGTATATGTGCACCTCGTTAACATCGTTATCTCCAGAATAATAATCCCGGTGGATTTAACAATCGAAAACAAAAATATGTTAAAAATGCAGAGATCTTAAAGAAAGATCAGCCACTGTTCGAAGACATTTTTCAGAAAAAACACAACAAAGTGTCGCATCTTCAAGTCTAGTTTAAACGAGTAAATCAAACAAATCAAAAAAATTAAAAATCAGTTTCCAAAAACTTTATAAAATTGTAAATGCGAAAAAAAAAAACGTACAGTTTTTCCAGGACATTCACAGCGCGCTGTGCATCGCTAGTACCCTAAAAAACAAACTGGAGCAATTTCACGCAAAAAAAAAAAAACTCTTGCATGCAAAAAAATTATGAGAAATAAAAAAGAATTTCAATGCGGGCAAAAATGATCATCATTTGTAGGCAAAGAAAATCCAAAACGGCTTCCATGAACACAGAGCCGGTAAAAGGAATATCTCAGATCCCTATGTCCATCTATGAAACAAAAATTTGCAG